AAAAGTTAGTCAAAACCTTAGATTGCCCAAACCCAAAACTATTCCAAAATTTTAAGGATTCGTATGAAAATCTCATATGATACAATTTATTCTCGGATACCACTTAAAAGGTGGGGTATTTAGGAAATTTTATTTCATTAATCTTTTTCACATGATTCCTCAACCAAAAATAATAATAAGATCAAACAAAATATAAAAATGAGATCTTAAATATAAATAATCGCACTTAAACTCTGTCTAGAGATTGAGGAGTTTGAATGGCCTCTTTATATTTAAGGACTTGATTCTAAAATCACATCTTATCAATTGCATAATATTCATTTGCATATATTTATTTTTAGATTATTGGTTGCATTCATTTCACATGTTTATATTTCTTAGTTTTTACTTTTTTTTTAATTAATTATAGCATCATTAGTTTTTCTACAAAAAAAATACGTTTTGTGAAAATGTTATTTTAAAAATATTGAATTTTAAAATAAAACAAGAATAACATTTCAAAAAAAATAATTTTTAGTACTCTACTTAATTGTTAGAGAGTCATCAACAATTATCATGTACAAAAAATGTTATTTTCATTTTTAAGGAATGTTGTAGTAAATCTTAGGCAAAAAGAGTTTTTTTTTTAAATTCTGCCTAGATGGTAGAGAATTTTAAGATAATTTTTTAACTTAAAGATTTTTTACAATATTATTAAATTAAGGTTTAATAAGATTGATTTTCTTGTAAAAAGAAAAAGTGAAGGGAATTACTATTAAATTTCAAATTGAAACTGTTTTTATTTAAAACTAAAGATAGCATATGAATAATTAGTACCAATTTTTATGAGCATTGTGGGAGTACTAATCCTTCCTTATACGTAACTTATTCTCTAACCCAACTTTGTTTCCATAGACCAAAATGGTCTTTTTGACAAACTTTAAACTTGTTTTATTGTTTTATTAAAATGATAAACTTTTTAGGTAACCAATAACCTCTTACAAAAAAGATTGAGTGGCGACTCTCTGTTTTAAAACTTTTAAAATTTTTTTGTCTGATGGTCTCCAAGACCATTATGACACCCATCATCCATGGCAACTCAATAAAGTTTGAGAGAAATGAAGTAGAATTTTTGTAATTTTGCTTAAAAAACTAATGTATGGCTCTTGTTATGTCAAGATTAAATATATTTATTTTAAAATATAAATTATTTAAATTTTATTTTAATAGAAATTAGATTTATCTAGCTTACTTGATTATTTAGTTTTAATTACTTTTAATAAAATTTCACCTATCAAATTGTATAAAACAATAATAAATGTATTTTAGTAATTTAATATGTACTTAATTTTATATTTTGTTAAAATTTAATATGTAATTTAGTAGAGACATTATAGTAATTTTGAAACAAAAGCCACATGTCGATTTTCTATAAAGTACTCATAAATGCATTTACGTAATTATAATATAGGGACATTATAGTAATTTTGGCCATTAGGGTAGGAGGAGCATTTTCATAATTATGGTAGGAGGGGTATTTTCATAATTATAGTATAAGAGATATTATATTAATTTTGATCAATTATAGTATGAGGGGTACTTTTGTAATTATGATAAGAAGACATTATAGTAATTTTGGTTAGTTAGGGTAGGAGGGATAGTTCAGTAATTATGATAGGAGTTTATTATAATAATTTTGATTAATTATAAGAAGAGGGATATTTTTTAGTTATGGTAAAAAGGCATTGTAATAAATTTCACTATGTGTCAAAATCATATCAAATAAATAGAGGCATTATAGTAATTTTTATAGGAATTGTTTTACATATATTATTTAATATTTAAATGGCATTTGGTTTGAGAAAAAGTTAGATTATTGGCATGAATCTTGCTTTTCGTTATTTAATTTCATAGTTTAGTTCAAGGAATCTGATTTCTAAGATTTTATAAATTCCTAATAGTATAAAAAAAGAGAGGGTGATAACCTTGAATCAAAAAACCACCTTTCCTTGAGGTTTTTAAGATTCTTAGAGAAATGTAAAATTTGTCCCACTTTAACCTCAATAATAATTTTTTGCAGTTTATTTTATCCTTAAAAATCAATGTAATTGCATGATAAATCGAGACTATTCTGACATGCAAAGCTATATTCCTAGTCACACAATTGAACACCTAGTAATGACTTGAAAATCAATGTAATTGCATGATAAATCGAGACTATTCTGACATGCAAAGCTATATTCCTAGTCACACAATTGGACACCTGGTAATGATCATGTATATTTAAATTTTTATAAATTTAAATATTTGTTTTAAACTTTATGACATGCAAAGCTATATTCCTAGTCACACAATTGGACACCTGGTAATGATCATGTATATTTAAATTTTTATAAATTTAAATATTTGTTTTCAACTAATAAAGTTTAAAAAAAACAACATTTTTGAGTTATAAACTTAGTTGATCTTATATAAAATGAAATCTTAATAAATAAAAAAAATTTCATTTATACAACGTTATTATATTAGAAACGTAGTCATATGTTATAAAATATTATAAAAAATTAATTATAATAAAAACAATGTTTTTAAAAGAAAAACATGGTAAATTATTTTAAAATTAAGATTTTAAATTTTTTTATAATTTTAGAAGCATTACATTTTTAACGTATAAAACGTAGTTAATTGTAGAAAATAATAAGAAAATAAATTTTATATTTTCAATATTAACAACATATCTTAGTATGTAAACATAGTAATTGATAAAACATAACTTGTTTTAATATAAAAATGTAGTTGTTGTTGGTAAAGTCAGTATTATATAATATTTATTTTACTTTTAACTACATTTTGTATGTAAAAAATGTAGTAATTGATAAAATTAAATTTTGATTTATATTTTTCTATATCAATAACAATGTTTCTTATTATGAAAATGTAGTCATTGATAAATAATAGTAATTGATTATCTAAAACTGATAACGTTTTTAAAATAGAAAATGTAGTTTCTATTGAAAACATAAAAAAATATTTTTTTAAATTCAATAAAAATGACATTTCTAAAATAGAAAACATAGTATTTATTGAAAACATGAATTTTTTTTTCAAAATTTAACAAAAATGGCATTTGTAAGATAAAAAATACAATTTTTATTGAAAAGATAATGTTTTTAAGATAAAAACGTAATTTTTTTTGAAAATATATAAAAAAATTATTTTTTAAAATTTAATATAGACAACATTTCTAAAATAAAAAATGCAATTTTTGTTGAAAAGACAACTTTTCTAAAATAAAAATAGTCTTTGTTGAAAACATCAAAAAATAAATCTTTTAGAATTAAATAAAAATAACATTTTTAAGATTAGAACCGCAATTTTTGTTGAAAAAAAGATATTTCTAAAATAAAAATGCAATTTTTATTGAAAACATGAAAAAAAAATTTTAGAATTCAATAAAAACGATGTTTCTAAAATAGAAAACGTAGTTTTGTTGAAAATATATAAAAAACTATTTTTTAGAATTTAATAAAGATGATATTTATAAAATAAAAAATGTAGTACTTGTTGAAATATGAAAAAAATAAAAAGTAAAATATCTTTATTTAATATTATTTCATGTAAAATCTAAAATATATTTATTTAATATTATTACATATAATGTGTTTTTAATCTTAAAATTCCTATCATTGTTGAAATTATAGAATTTTGAAAAATATTTTTTTATAATATATTTATTTAACATGTAAAAATAGCTTTATTTTGTTATATCTTGGAATTATTTTGTTTTTTAAAATAAAATAAATAATAAAAATCACATTTATTTTGTAATTTTAAAATATTAAAAAGGATAACATAATTTTAAAATATAATTAAGTGAGGGTAAATAGGATAAAAATTTTATTTTCCCTTACTTTTTCTTTTTTAATACTATTGGAATTATAAGATTCTTAACATAAGAAAAAGTTTCTAAATCAAACCAAAATTTTCAATAATGAAAACTTAATTTTTGTTAGACAAGTTAGATTCCACTCCCAAAGGAGAAAATAATATTGGTAACATAATAAAAAAAACCTAAAATTTTATTATTTTATTTAAATAAGTCTTTATATTTTTATTATACCAAAATAAATCTTTAATTTTTAATTTTTAATTAAATAAATCTTTAATCTTTAATTTGTATCTAAATAAATTCTTAACTGTTAATTTATACCTAAATGAATCCTTATCATAAACAAAAATTTTATTTGAAATAAGAGTTTATAATGTAGGTACAAATTAAAAAACAAAAATTTATCTAATAGGAAAATAATATAAGAGTTTATTTAAAAAAGTGAAATAGTTTAGAATTTTTTTAATATTTTAGCCAATAATATCCTTTAAGTTTATTAAATCCATATTTTTTTAACTAACTAAATATTTTGGAAAAAAATACTATTCATTTTGGGAACCTAACATGCTATAAATTGTAATGAAAAAAAATTTAAAAAAATCGTAATTAAAAATTTTAAATATTGTTGACCATATAAAATTTATCAGCGTAAATTTAGAAAAACAAATCTTATTCCTTTACGGTGGGTAGTTTTGCTTCAAAAACTTTGCTTGCTTTTTCAACTTTTGCGGACAGCAAAAGGGGAAAGAGACAATGACTTGCGTTTGTAAGAGCTTCTCCGATAAGGCGTAACAACGGCTACCAGTATTGGAAATCGAAACCCTTTCGAGAGTTGGCAGTTGGTAATAATCCCTCGAGGGCATTCCTGTAATTTCAATAACCAGCCATTTTTTCACAGCATAGTAAAAGTTGGTGTGGGTGCGTTTAAGACCGCTTATTCCCTTTAGCCGCAAATTTTGTACCGGCCCACTAATTTATTTATTAAAAACTACAAAGTCAAATTTCACAATTAACTTAATTTAATTAAAAAATAAAAACAGTGAGAACAAAAAGAAAAATCGGCGAAGGCAGAAGAAAAGAAGAAGAAACTTTTTTAATAAGCTAGAAAACACAGTATAAATATAAATACAGAGAGACTAGAGATAAAAAGAAAGATATTTAAAAAAAAAAAACATAATTTTCCCTTTTTCTTCTCAGCGTGTGTCTTCATAATATTAGGGTTTCTGTTCTTTTCTTTTTCTTATTGGATCTTCATTATTTGGACATCAGATTTCAGGCTTTTCTCATTCTCAGGTTTGCAATCTCTCTCTCCTTTCTCTGTATATGTAATTACATAAATTTATCTATGCATTTGAATCTTGTATGAGTTGTTGCATTTTCTTTTCGTTGGTTGTTTGTATTAGCAGATCAATGTTATTTCTTATTTCTTTTCTTTTTTTTTGGAATTTTGATTTTTTATACTCATGATGATTTTGCATTTGGGATTTGTTTTCATTATGTGTTAGAAAGGCATTTTTATTCCTGCCAATCAATTTTGGAATTAATCGATTTTTTGTAATAAGTTTTGGGTTTTGTATTCTCTTTCTTCGAGCTACCAAATAGAGTCAGCTGATTGTTTACGTTGACATGTTGCATTTGGGTGACTAATGATGTAAGATTTGATTGCATCATTTGTTTTTATGGATTTTTTCTTTTAAGTCCTTTTTATGGTTTGATCAGGTTTGACAAATTTCTTATTGGAAAATATTTTGGTGGATTTTGACGGGGTTTTGAAGTGAATTCTTGGATTTTGACCTAAATAAGGCTTTTGTTAAAAATTTGGAATTGTGGTGGCTGTGAATTGTGATGACTACACGAACATCATGGGCAGATTTGGCTGCAAATTCTGCAGCCGAGAATGTAGATGTTGGTTCTTCTTCTGCTAGCAATGGAACTGTTGGTACCACCTCAGCTGCTGGCCGACCTGTTTATGTTCCTCCACATCTCCGCAATCGCCCACCTTCTGCAGACCCACCTGCTCCTACTTACACTGGCCCTGCTTCAAGTAATGACCGACCAGGTTATGGTGGATCTCGTTGGGCTGCTCCTAGGAATGATAGGAATGATTATAACAACCGATCTGGGTATGGTAGTGGTGGTGGTGGTGGTGTTCGACTTGGTGGATGGGGTGGCCGAAGTGGTGGCTGGGATCGTGGGAGAGACAGAGAAGTCAATCCATTTGGAAATGATGATGCAGAGCAGACATTGAGCGAGCAAGAGAGTACGGGCATTAACTTTGATGCCTATGAAGACATTCCCGTGGAGACAAGTGGTGACAATGTGCCACCACCTGTCAATACATTTGCAGAGATTGACTTGGGTGAAGCACTGAATCTAAACATCCAGAGGTGCAAGTATGTGAAGCCAACACCTGTTCAGCGGCATGCCATCCCCATTTCACTTGCAGGGCGGGATTTGATGGCATGTGCACAGACTGGTTCTGGAAAGACAGCAGCCTTTTGTTTCCCAATTATCAGTGGGATTATGAGAGGCCAGGCTCCACAAAGACCATTGCGTGGGGCACGTACAGTATACCCACTAGCTCTAATTCTTTCTCCTACCAGGGAGCTCTCGATGCAAGTGGGTGTCATATTTTTGACAATTTAAATAATGGGCTTCTATTTAAACTATGGAATTTATATTTTGACTATTATTGCAGATACATGAGGAAGCCAGGAAGTTCTCTTATCAAACAGGTGTTAAGGTGGTTGTTGCTTATGGAGGTGCTCCTATTAACCAACAGGTACTTTTTCTCTCCTTTTCTCATTCCTTTCATTTTACCCTTCATTATTATATTTTTACTTTAGTTAGCATCACCTAGTATAGTAATGCTATAATTTTGATGATTTTTATGCATCAACTCCTGTATAAGAAAAAATTTGCACTCTAATTTTGCTGGTCAAAGTGAAACTATCCACTCTTGGGGGCATGTAATCGCCTTGTTCAGTCTCTTGTTTTTAAATTTTTATAGTGCACACTATTTAGGATGTTGACAACTGCTCTTGAGGCTTGATAATTCTTTTGACTTTTCCTGCACCCTCAGGGAGGAACCTTTTTTTTTTTTGGGCGGGGGGGGGGGGGGGGTTGCACGGTTGAGGAAATTCGTCTACTCATGAATCATGATACTATCCTCTAATACGGCTGAGCATTACTACTCCTCTCTCCTGTTTTAGAGGCCATTTGTTATCTTCTCTGCATGTTATACCATTCCATTCTCTTGAATATATTTCTTAAATTTTAAAGTTCTGCAAATTTTCTCTGATATGTTTTGTTGCTATTTCTACCTTTATGTTATACCATTCCATACTTGAACGTATCTCTTAAATTTACAAGTTCTGTAAATTTTCTCTGATACGTTTTTTTTGCCATTGCTAGCATAAGAAATTTGAAATTATGGTATCAATTTTGTGCTCTACTGATTCTTTGTCATCATTTTCATCATAAATTGTATGTAATTATATTTGTGTTACCATAAGTTGATGGTATTCTATTTGGCCAGCTGAGGGAGTTGGAGAGAGGTGTTGATATTCTTGTAGCAACTCCTGGAAGATTGGTAGACTTGCTAGAGAGGGCTAGAGTTTCTCTACACATGATCAGGTACCTAGCCCTTGATGAGGCAGACAGAATGTTGGACATGGGTTTTGAGCCTCAAATAAGAAAAATTGTGGAACAAATGGACATGCCCCTACCTGGTGTTAGACAAACAATGCTATTCAGTGCTACCTTTCCAAAAGAGATTCAGGTTGCTCTTGTCTTTGTAATGAATTATTTATTAGTTTCTTGCTATTATTTAATTTTTATTTAAATTCTTATGAATTTGCAAAACTTTACTCATGAGTTATCTATTATTTAATTTTTATTTAAATTCTTATGAATTTGCAACACTATACTCATGAGTTATCTCTCTACATTATGAAGTTCTTTATTAGGTCCATACATGTCACATATCTGTACTGTAATACTGATTATTGACGATTATTTTGTTATTCTGTTATGCATTGTGTTGGAATTTTATTTTCCTTAATGGTTACAAGAGAGAGCACTGCAGTTAAAGCGTAAGTTCTTTAGTGAAACACCAGTTCATTCTTGCCACTTGAACTACAACCAAGTTGCTACTACCTTGGCAATTATTTGGGGTGTATATATCATGCATTTTGGTAGTTATTTACCCTTTCATTTTTTGTTGCATGCAGAGACTGGCCTCTGATTTTCTTGCAAATTATATTTTCCTGGCTGTGGGGCGAGTTGGATCAAGTACTGATTTGATTGTCCAGCGAGTAGAATTTGTTCATGAGTCGGACAAAAGAAGTCATCTTATGGACCTTCTTCATGCTCAGAGAGCAAATGGTGTCCATGGCAAGGTACTAAGGATTTGGAGTTGTGGTTCTTTATGCTAATGATGTTAGTGGAAATTCCTCTATGACTCAGAGTTAGGTCTATTTGTAAATCATTGTCTACTTTATGGTTTTGTGAATGACTATAGTTTCGGTTTTAGCTAACTTTCTAATTTAATCTTGCAGCAAGCTCTTACATTAGTTTTTGTTGAGACAAAAAAGGGAGCTGATTCGCTGGAACATTGGCTGTGCATGAATGGTTTTCCTGCAACTACCATTCATGGTGATAGAACCCAGCAGGTAAATATCCTGTTTTGCTTAGCCTTTTGTACTTTTTTATGCGTGGTACTTATTATGAAATTGAATTGTTAGTCACATGAAATATTTGATTGTGGCTTCTATGTTTTCCAATAAAGCTTTATATTTGTAGTTAGGGGGAGTTGCTGCAGATACGGTGGGGTATCTAATGCTGTAGGGTTGGATGGTTTAAACAATAAATAAGTGGCTGAAGTTACATGAAATTGTGCAGCCCAGGAAGTAAATGCTTTTTGGAGATCCATTAGTTGGAAATTTACATTATATAGACTTGAAGGAAAAAAAATGGCTTACCTAGAAAAAAAGGATAACTGTGCAAATTCGTTGCCTTTTATCTTGTTTAGACATTTTTTGCGTATATAATTATTTAGCTCAATCTTGATTATTTTTATCTTCACTTGTGGGTTTTCCCAACCATGGTTCTTTGCTTAGTTTATAAACTTGGAGCTGGATATATTTTCTGATATGTAGAATTCATGTATTATCAATTATTTTGGTGACAATAAGGTTTTGGCCAAGCCCTATTTGAATTTCTCGCAAATGCTTTCATAGGAGAAATGATTGATATTTTGTTGCAAATATGCCTCCTTAAATGTTATCCTCATTGATCCCCAGTGGTATTTATATCTGAGAAGTCTATGGGTTTGTCATACCTATGTGTGTAACTGAGGCATGGTGGTATCATCGGTAGATATCCTTATTGTCCGGTTAGTGTGGAACGTCTAGAAATAAAAACTCTTTAAGGTGTTCTTTCAGTTAATAGCCAAAGACTCTCTTGGAACAAATTTAAACAGTTAGTGAAAGCACAGAGCTCAATATGAATGTGTCCGGATTATTCATGCATGTTATTGATAGGTAGAACTTTTTTGTTTCTTTTAAATTTCTGTTGAGTCCAATATATATAAATTACACATCTGATTTTGATTTCTATCAGTTGCATTATCAACCAAGAAATCCTTATTAATTTTGTCTATAACCCAATGAAAGATGTAGTTTCATTCTGGCAAACTTTTGTGATTCTCATACTATTTGCCAAGATAGTTCAGAAGCTTGTGAGGTGCAGACTGTAGGAATATTTGCCTAGATAGTGTAGTTTACTTCTATACTATGTTGCATGGAAGTCCCTATTACAGTTAGTTTTTCCTTTTATTCTAGGTAATTTAAGTTTTGGGATAATTATCTTTTTTCTTGCTTTTCCTACATTTTGGCTAAGGCTCCCTTTGGATTACACTGCACCCCCAGTGGCAGTGCAGTTGTAATCAAAAGGTGTACCTGCTGAGTTTTTTCATCCAAATGCGTTAGTGGCATGTTCGATGACTGGGCAGCTATCAACTGGCCATTTTTGGTCAAGTTGGTGATCGGCCAGTAGAGATTTTTGCTTATTCCATTTTTGTCCTTTAAATTTTATTGTTATGTCAAAAATAGCTTTATATTTTTTTTTCTATTTAAAAATTATGAAATAAATATGTTAATTTGATAGAATAAACTAAATTTATTATTTAATACATTAAAAAATATATACATTAAAAAATAATTTGAATAAATTTTATTATTTTTTAATGAAATTTATATAATAAGTAAATTTTATAAATGTTAAATAATTAAAATTTTTATTGTATACAACTTTTAATCTAATGTCTTTAATGGTGATTTTCTTATCATTATAATTTATTTCACCGTCACCGCTGTTTTTGCATCCTAATACATCTCATCGCTGATTTTAATCTTGCTGCTATTATAACGAATCTCTCCTCTACCACTATTTTCAATCTCATTGGAGTTAATCTCATTGCCCCTTTAAATGGACCTTAAAAGTGAATTACTATACCTTTATAGTAACCTTGTCACTAGAAACTGTTATGCTTTGTTTATCATCTTGCCTTTGGCTATTTTAGTTTCTGTTTCCCGTTTGATGTCTCAAGGTACTTTTAGAATACTTTTTTGGTTGATGATTTTATATTTTCACAAGTGTTAACACTGGAACCTTAAATTAGTATTTCTTTTATACCAGTTGAACTGTATTAAGGGTTGAATTTTCAGTTATGAAGAAGCTAATTTTGGGATTGTCATATGGTGTTTCTTGTGATTTTACGCAATTGGTCTGTTATGATCAAATGACTGGTTTTGTGCTTTGCCATAATATCATTGTTGTTAGTATCATCCTCTTCTTGTTCCTATTTATCATCCCTTTATTATCCTCCCTTTGTTTGTTCTAGTTCTGAGAGTGGGAGCTATGGGCTGTTTTGTTTTATTCTATTTTATTTTTTGAGCATTTTTCATCCCTTTGGCTGATAACTTTCTTAAATTATGCTTTTTATGCAAGTAGTGCAACTGAGATGTTACTTGTCCATTATTGAAGCAAAATTTCTTTATCGTTTTTCTGCATTGTGCTTCATATGGTTGACTTGATGGCAAATCTCTTCATTGTTGAGATATATATAATGCATTCTTCATCCTCTTCTTGTTGTTGCCTCCCACCTAATGGTTTTCAATCCCATCAGATGTGATGGTACTTTGAGTTATGTGTTTTTTGTGGCCAAGATTAACGTGTGTAAAATAGATGATCTAGCTTTATATAGAATACAGAGTGTATAGGTGGCTTCTCCATACTGGATAGTAGTCACAGGACAGCTTTGGGGGCTAGGGTTTTAGTTAAATTATAAACTGAATTTCTTGAGAAAAACAGAAAAGATCCCTAAGCTTCACACCTACAATTCCTTTGGAATCACACCTACAATTCCTTAGGAATCACACCTAAGGATAATTGTATCAAACAACCACAAAGCAATAAGCTGAAAATTTAATGTATACCTATCTCTTAATAGAAGATTAGATTGGTTTATATAAATCCTTATTATACAATTCCTATTTTGCTTAGGTAGCATTTGGTATCGGGTGATCACTCAAAAAATTATGGTGATCTACACAAGGTGATTAAATCACTGTGTTTGGTAACCACTTAGTGATCTTATGTGGCAGTGATCTGCGCAAGGTGATTAGATCGTTGTGTTTGGTAACCATTTAGTGATCTTACGTGGTGGGGATCTTGAATCACCAAGAGTGATTAGATCATTCCTTGAGGGTGATTTAATTCCCATTCAGAAGGGTGGAAACTTTTATTACTTGGGTGAAGTGATAAGTAAAATTAACAATAGTTAATATTACCCATTTAATATGTAAATTAAAAATTTCTTCTTAAAATTAATTGTTATTATTTTATACTATAATTTTTATATTTTCAAACTAATATCCATTGTAACAAATTCAAAAATATTTTTTGATTTTTTTAATTTTAATGTATTAGTTTTATTTTCTAATTCAAATATTTTTTTTACATAATTATACTATAAAAACTAGTTGACTATCAATAAATATATTTTTAATTTAATAATTTAATTATATTTGTTATGGAGTAAATAAAATATTACTAATATTTTATATACAAATTATTATCTTTAAACAATATTGAAATCATTAACTTGTGTAGCTATTATAATGTGCATGGTTATTTTGGTACTTTTAAATAAAATAATATTTGATTTTTAGTAATATCAAACACAATAATTTTTAATTACCAAGAATTAATGCTTCTTAACCAAATAAAGTGATTCTAGATCACGAGTGATAAGATCACCTTAATAATAAGATCACCTCGGTGATTAAATTATCATGGTGATCTTAAAAATGATGCCAAATGTTACCTTAGAGTATGTTTGGATAAATATTAGTAAAGGAAAGAAAAGAAAAAAAAAGGAATGGAAGGCATTTTGGATGAAAGGAAATGATACATATACCCCATGTTTGGATAGTTAAAGTTAATAAAGGAAAGAAAAGAAATCCTAACGACTATTGTTTGGTTAAAGAGTAGAAAGGAAAGGATTCATTATAGTATTTTTTTTTCCAATTATACCCTTTTAAATAGAATGTTTAATTTGTCACGTGAATAATTTACAAAGTAATTGTTTATAAATTAATTGTTTAAGTAAAAAGAAATGAAAATTTTAGTAAAAGGGATGAATTTTTATTAATCCATAAAAAAAATGTATGTTTGGAATTATTTCCACACATTTATATTTTTTTTCATAATTAATTTCAATGAGAAAATTAAAAAATCTATAAATGTCTTAGTAAATAAAATTAATCATAAACTTATATTAGTATTTTCTTACAAATTTAACAAGTTCCATTAACATCGACATAATTTCTCCAATTGTATGTGTTTTTTCATGTATATGTTTTTCTTTTTCTCAAATTTGTGAAATAATAATAAAATATAAAAAAGATGTAAGGCTCCAATGTAGATTAAAAAAATAAAGGACATGATTTTTTTTATTATGAATAATGGTAGATTAACTAAATCAATCATAATTTCAAATTTATTTTCATATAACATAAAGAAAATATACTAAAAGAAAGAAAAAAATGTACATAAAAATAAATTCATAAAAATAAATTTGAAGACCATATTATAAGAAATTGATGAAATTATAATAAGTAAAATAAGAAGGGATATGGGTTTAGGCGTGATATAAAGTAAATATTAATATAACTTATCAAGCTTATAATGGGGATATGAGCTTAGGCATGATAAAAAATAAATATTAATATCACTTATCAAGCTTATAATGTATTCTTTGAAATTTGAAGAAAATAATAATGGCATAAATGTCATTTTATATTTTAAGAAATTTTACCTCTTTCCTTTCCCCAGCTTTTCCCTCAATTTGAGGCAATTGAAGAATGCAGCATTTGAGAGAAAAGGAGGGATGATCAACCCCCTTCCTTTCCCTTATTTTAATATAAATAATATCCAGACAAGGGAAAGGTTTCCTCCTTTCCCCAGCTTTCCTTTCCTTTCCCCTCCCCTCCCCACCCCTCAATCCAAACATAGGCTTAGCAAGTAACAATTACTTGGGCTCTAAGCTAACAATCTCAACTTCAAACTCACGAAAATGAAAAAAAAAAAAAGCCTTGAGACTCAAGAAAACTAAAAGACGAACTTGACTTGAAACTCATGAAACCAGGAAAATAAAATTAGACCCATAAATGAAGGCTCAAAATAATTAATGAAGCCTATTCAAGCTCCCAACTCAACTTCTTATCTTTGGACATCTAAATTAGGGCTTTGGCTTTAGAATTTGTATGCCTCCTGAACACTTTTGGAGGCTAATGCCAGCATGCTCCATCAATAGTACCAACAAGGAGCTGAATTGAGGACTCTGTTTCACATTTGGGTATAATACTGGGTGTCAGAATATCAAGAGAGGACCATGCTTATCTTATCTCTTAGGTCTTATGGTCTTAATAAACTTAAGAGCAACAATGGTCACACATCACTTGTGAAAGTTAAATTATAATTTTTTTTTTGGTTGAACTGTTATGTTGTTTGCCTATAAGATTAAATATAGTCTAAACATTAATGGATGCTATCATTATATTATTTTTTTTAGTCTTAGAATTTATGAAAGTTAAAGGGACAATATCCAAATAAGCCATCAAACTTTACAAAGAAATGGAAATAAGTCTTCAATCTTTTATTGCATGTAATTAACGCTATGAACTTTTATTTTGTTGTAATTATACCCATTTAATTTGAAAAGGGGTGAATAAATTCCCTTTTTCATAATTGTTAAAATAGGATTCCCTCAATGTTTTATTATCCAGCTCATTCGAATAAATTCAAGTAAGAATTTTTATTACATCAGCCAACCAAGAATGTTTTAACAAAATATAAGTACACAACATCAAGGTTCTCATTATAATAAAATAAAAGTTCATACTTAGCCTTGCTTAATAGTATAGGAGCACACTGAAGCCAAGGACCCTGTAAAAACCTTAGTAGTATCTTGATTGGAAGAAAATAATATATAAAACAATTCTTGCTTGTGTTATTCATTCGCAACTTACTGCATTTTACCTGTTGCTGTATGTGTTAATTTGTGTTAATCTGGTATGTTAGATGGGACATAGTTATACCATTTCTAGGAAGAGAGAGTAGTTTGGATGAGAGGGCTGAGCAATCCGCAAAACTGTTAGCTCCTGGTTGGGTGTTGGAGCATGATTCTCAGCAAATCCATGTTAAGTGTTTTTGGTGTTTTTCCTTTTATTCTCCTGGCTGGAGGAGGTCATAGTTATCCCCCTTTTAGATTCCTGTTAATGCATGCTATTAAGTAAGATGCCTGTTAATTGATGCCAAGAATTAGCTAACGCATTAATTATCAAGTAATGCATCGATATGCAAATGAGTGTGGTGTCAAGTATGCATATGGTTGCAGTTGGATTTCTACATGAAACCAGATTTCTAATAAAGATGTAGGCCTATAATCCAAATTATTTATCATCTTGGTGCTTAGGTCTATAAAAATATTAGTCCTTGAAAAGTAAAACGGATGGATCACTTTGTCCATCTTTTTTAGCAGTGCCTTTGTCTTTGGTTTGAAATAAATCTTGGCTTGCATCAATTACACTCTGTCCTTGAGATTTGACATTCATCATCTTCCTCTCTACTTTTAACTCCTACATATTTTAAGCAACTTTTTCTCTAATTTCATGTATAGAATGCTTCCTACTTTTGTAAGGTGATTATTTGGGCCATTTAGCCTGACTGTTCTTTACCTGTTGTTAAAATACCCATTTATTGCCTATATTGCAGGAAAGAGAACAAGCATTACGGTCATTTAAAAGTGGTGCTACGCCAATCTTGGTAGCAACTGATGTGGCAGCCCGTGGTCTGGATATTCCTCATGTTGCACATGTGGTGAACTTTGACCTTCCTAATGATATTGATGACTATGTTCATCGAATTGGACGGACAGGGCGTGCAGGCAAAACTGGTTTAGCCACAGCCTTCTTTAATGATAACAATGCTTCTTTGGCAAGGTCATTAGTGGATCTAATGCAAGAAGCGAATCAAGAGGTGCCTGCTTGGCTCACTCGACATGCAGCTCGTTCATTTGGAGGGAGGAATCGTCGACCTGGGGGAGGACGATTTGGTGGGCGTGACTTTCGAAGGGAGTCATCTTTCAACAGGGGTGGTTCAGATTACTATGGTGGGGGCAACAGTGCTGGTAGCTATGCTACTTCTGGCGGGTATGGTGGAGGCTATGGTGCAGGTATTAGCAGTGCATGGGATTGAATACTCAATTTTTTAAGTACTTTGAGTGTCTAATAGTAGCAGAGCTTCCCTTTCTTTCACAGGACTACTTTTTTCTTTTCTTTTTTGGGTTACTTTATCTTTTACTAGAAATCTTAGTTACTGTCATTTTATACTTTAGGAGGGTTTTATATCACTATTACAAGGGAGGGGGGATGTAAGTTTGGTGTTGATGTCGAAGGAGTGGAAGTTGTGTATTGTGTTAGTAGGTATTGGTGAAGAAATTCTAACCAAAAATAGGGATTACTTCTTACTCCTCTTTTGGTGTCATCTTTTGATGGTTTAATGATCATTTTGTTAGCTAATGGGTTGTAGAATATGTAGTTGGGAGAGAGAGAGAGAGAGGGTTCATTTTGTCATCTTTGATCTCATAGGCATGTTCTTTCCAACCCAGTGTGTGGGGATGAATTGTCCTGAGGCTCTCTGTCTTATTATCATTTACGAATCAATATTCCCGTTTTAAAGGAGTTCGAAGACTTTTTGTAATGTTTTGGTCATAACTGAAATAAATACGAATCTTTGTTTGAAATGATGGATTATTCGCGGTTGGCAATATTTGTTGGTAATTTGGCATGGCTAAATGTTTATGTTCCTAGTCATTCTTCATTACTTGTCATATATATCTGCTGATTAGTATAAGGTTGTACCGTAGTGGCATCATTTTATTCCATGAGTCGAATGTGAAAAATGAAATGTGGGGCTCTAAGATTGGACCTGCACATAATTGGAATGCCTGTTACATATATGATATTAAATCCATTGATTACCATTGCTATTTTGATGATTAGTAATCGGAGTATGAAATAGCATTGTTTGCTTTTATTTACGTTGATATTTCCGTAGGAAACAGCTTTGTATTTTCCCCTGGGAATCTTTAGAATTACCATGAATTATCAAATGAACTGTGAATAACCTATTCCTCCTGACTTTGAAACAAGGGCGCTTTTGGCTGGCTCTGTTGGTACCTGAAACAATTATTTCTTCTTCATATTGTTATATCTCCAGAGTCAATAATTTTATATTAAGAACTATCGAACTCATCGGGATAATGAGATTTTTTTTTATTATTATTTGAATTTAGTTCTAGGGATAGCGAATTATGTAATTGACACTTTGAATTTTGTTCTATGAATAGAGACTTTTTATCCGTCATTGGGGCAATGTGTCGACTTTTTCATCATAGAAACCCTATTGAGATAGCATTTTTTTTAATCAACTTTTTGTTTATTATTCTTACTCCTACTACAATTACTACACAAGCATTTTGTCACCTTATATTAGGAAAAAAAGAAACATTGATCTTGTGCATGTATTTTATTGAAACGTAAATTTCACGGAGTATTACTGAAATCAATTGATTATCTAATAAGAGTCCTGTCAAAAAGCGGGTACAGGTATAATCTCAAAAAAAATATTTTACCGTGATAAAATATGAAAATAATACAAAAAAAAAAAATAAATGTGATAGTTTAAAATTTTAAAAATATCATATATATATATATATGTATAGGTTTAACAAAACATATCTGTTGCATAAAATATAATATAAATATATAAATTATTAATATTTTACTTAAATATAATTATATGAATTATCAATTTAGAAAATATTATTAAAATTAGAATATTCTGCAACTTGCTTTTGATCTGAATACAAACAAAAAACGTTGTTTGGTTTAAAAAGTTAATAATTCGAATGGTATGAGACTAACATAGAGCTTCCTCGATGATGAAAACCAACTTGTTTGGGTTAGACTTTGTCCAAATTGCACTAAAGGGCCCGTTCTGTGCCGAATGCCTAGAGGGGTTGGACTCCACCTACCGCGCTGGAGAGCCAGTGAATGGGGCAATCATGCCATGGCCTGGAAGCTCTATTTGGCCCATGGCACTGAGAATCTTTTTTATGCTTTTGATTTGTGCGTTTGTATTTTTTTCTTTTAAAACTGTCCTCGACAGTTTAGAAAATTACAGCAAATGTCACAATTATATTATTAAAATTAGATTTCTTTTTTCCATAAATAGTGATGTCAAATGGGTAGGGCAACTCATGGTATGTTCCGATTTAATATAGTATAGATCGTGCTTAACACGATTTATTGCGATAGTCACGAGTCATGCTCAACACGGGTCATACTTGTACCATGTTAGGTTAAGGGTTTTGGGTTCATCAGATTGATGTGGTAAGACCTACTAATGGTCAATATGAGCATGTAACACGGGAGTTGTAATGATATAGTAGACAAGTATTAATGTGTCATGCAATATTTGTTCATAATTGTTATAAATGAGTTTAGTCCATTGATCTTTCAATTGTATTTCGTGTTACTCTTATCATATGATGAAAGTTTTTTTGTTATCTTAGTATTTTATGTTAGTAATTTATAAAAATTAATCGGTATCCTTAAATTTATTAATAAAATATTTAAACTATTAATAAAAAAATTATAAATTTTTTCATTTTGGTCCATCACTTTCTCAAAATGGAACTATGAAGTATATGTATTACTTTAAAGATTGGTTATGAAAAAGTTTAATATAAGACAAAGCATATAATATAAAGTTATGTTTGGTACATAAGATGATGAATATAATAAGATAAAAATTATTTTATATTATGTTTGATTTGTATCTAAAGAAAGTGATATGATTATAAAGAGGATTAATCATTTTCTTGGTATAAAATGAGTTAATCCTCTCAAAATAGAAAGAATTATTTTTAATTTATGAGATTTAACTTATATTTCCTATTATACTTTTAAAATTTATATCAATAATTTAAATTATATAAATTTTAAGAAAAGATAATTTTAACTAATAAATAAATTATTTTATTGTAATATTTGCATATATCAAACACAAAATAAAATTATATTATTTAATCTAATTTTAATCATGATATCATATTTTTGTATCATATCATAATTTTATGCACTAAATACACTCTATCTTATTAAAATCTTATGTATTAAATATATTCTAAGTAAATTATCATATGGTAACAATGAGAGATCAAATGATAATGTGATATTTTTATTTTTATTATTTTTGAACTTTAGAGATGAAATATCAGTAAATGTCAATTTCATCGAATTCTTTTAATAGAATATTTTAACCTTTAATCATAAATATAAATATTTTGTTGAACTATTTAAAATATATACCTCTTGTGTTAATTTTATACATTAATTTTTTTAAAATAGTTGAAAAAATAAAAAAAAAGTAAAAAATTATTAATGAACTATGCTTAGTCTGAATGGACACAAAAAATAATGTTATACTAAGCACAACAATCCCAATGACCCATAAAGACTATAAGCCATATGTTATGCACTCTTAAATTTCATAAATCGTGCCAGCGAGACATACTAAATAATAATACTCGATCAACACGACTTATTAATTTTTTTTATTGTTGGCACTATTCATTTGACACCTCTATCATTATTTTTTCTTATTTTTATCTTTACTAATTATTGCATAGTCCAAAGGGCCTAAAACCCAAAGATCATATTATGCTTAGTTTATTTTCATCTTCTTTTATTAGTAAAATTATCTTTATAAATGTTTAATGGTTAAAATTGATTTAAAGAAGAAAAACTATATAAATAAGTTAAAAAATAAATTTAAAGAAATAAATAACAAATAAATAAATGAAGTTTATTATTAATGAATTAATTAATTCATTAAAATAAAAAATATTGATTTTTTAAATAAATAAATACCTACATAAATTCATAAATAAATATGTTATAATTATAATGAAATAATTTTATACATAAAACAATTATTATTTTATTACTAGTAAATACAAATTATTTTTATTAATTAATATATTAAGAATTATGTTAATATTTTTTATTAAAAAATCTCAAAATAATATCTTTTCTTTTTTTTGTCGCATCACATCTCAACACAATCGAAATATTTTACCGAATGCATTTTTTTCACTGTTAATTTTAATCTCATTACATCAGTTTCTCCATGGTAAGTGGCCAAATTCTAGTTTGACGATATGAAGTTGATTATATCTTGTTTACAATTCATGTGTAATAAAACTTTATTGTGAAACTAAAACCCCTTTCTCCTTAAAAGTAAAATGAAAGGTGAGGCCATCCATAAATTCTAATTTACACCCAATGAATTTCCTTTATTTGTTTTATAGTTTAAATACATTTAGGCAATACCATTTGTAGATTTAGACTGCTGGCTGGTCTTGAAAACAATTTTTTATTACCCCTTTTTATTCTTGTTGTGACCCAATCTCTATTTTACAATAAAAATTTATTTCTACTTTTTATAAAGTAAAAATTCATAGTTAAAATGTTGAGGGCTTATTATAAATAAAATTCAATCAAATAAAACTTCAAAATTTTAATTTTATGCAGTAAAAAAATCGAGAGCTTATTTTTATTTTTTTACAAAATTTATTAACTTATTTAAATATTATCTCAAAATATTTTAATATAAATAATAGAAATAATAAAATAATTTATCATATTAAATTTCAGAAATGTTGATTAAATTGTTGTAATGTCACGTTGATATTTTTAGTGAGATGTTGAGAATAAAAAATCAAATTATTAAGAAATTTTAACAACCTTGACAATCAAATTGTAAAGTTTTAAAAGTTAGATGACAAATAGAAAATTTTAGAAGTAAAGTGATAAAAAATGAAATTTACATTTTTACTACTTGAAATTTATTTTAAGAAAAGTTAGATTTGCATCATGTCAACCAAAAAAAAAAAAAAATCATAAAAACAAATTTCTAAAAGAAAATTTTTTTCATGGTTTGAAAATTTTCATAGAAAATAGCGTTCTTTGTTTGAATGATAACATCAAAAATATTTTGCACTAGCTTTCATCATCGCCATTTTATGATTTTAACATTTTTTCATAAACATTTCATATTTTAATAAAAGTTTTCATAATTTTAATAGTAATAAATCCATTAAATGCCCATACAAGTTCATCGACTGGAAAACTCAACACATCTATGTTCATAAAAATCCAAACCCCTAAAAATGCATAATAATTCATGATACCCTTTTCAAATTGATAAAAGCAATTCAAAATCTTTAAAATTGAAAGATCTTTTCATGGAGGGTAAGTTTTTGCAGATCTTTTCATCAAGATTTCGATTTTTGGGTTTTTGAACAAAAATTATTTAAGAATGAAGAAAGATTAAAGAACAAAACAAAAAGATGAAGGATTAAGGGATATCTAAGGGTTTCATGATGGTTATAAAAAAAAAATTAAAGAAAGATTGAAGGATTCAAAGGGAAAAGATAAAGATTTGAAATAGATGAAGCAAAAATGAGTTATGGTAACCGTAACAAAAGCTAGAGATGGAGCATCCATACCCAGCAAAAAAGAAAATGCTGCGAAAACAAGAAAGTTGGGAGAACAAGAAAAAAAAAAGAAAGTGAAGGATCTTGCTTGATACCTAAAGGTGGCTAGCGCAGAAGAAGAGATGAGAGAGTTGTGGGTTTGTCGACAGAGTTGGAAATTGTCTTCCGCTAGAAATAAAAAGGAAGACAATTTCCACGTGTAATGCTTTGGTTTTTTATTGACTAGAAAATACTTTCGGTTGAGCATAAGAACTATATTCTTCCAAACACCGAAAAAGACAAAAAAAATAATTTCTAGAAATGAATTTCAAGGTTATTAAACGGAGCGTTAATTCTATAATTTTTTTCATGACTTAATTATTTGTGAAATTAGTCTGCCGTTTTAAATAATGTTACAATGAATTGAATGGTTAGTAGTTTTGTTATTTTATTTATTAGAGTTGTCCTGATTGTATATCTCACAAGTATTATGAAACTTAATATTTTGCATGCTATTCTTTTGTTTCATTTTCTTTATTCATCTTTTTTTTTAGATATCCCCAAATTATGTAATTTTTTTTAACATCTAAAGCTCTTACTTTTTTATATTTTAAATTTTTTTTAATTTTTTAATATTAAAAGTCATAAAACTTTAATTTTATTAAAAAAAATTTAATTTTAATATTAAATGTATTAAAGTCAAAATTTTTTTTTTAAACTCCGTGAAAATCAATATCATTCAAATAATTTGGGACGGGAAGTATTATTTAAAAATGATAGACATTTAACCATAAAAAAGAAAAACTTCTAAAAAAACCATAAAAAAAATTTAGTGGGAGTAGTAAC